CCAGTCCGCCGGTCTGGTGCCCGCGCTTCCCCTTGCCCCTGCCTCTCGCGAAGCCGGCGCAATTTTCGCGGGGTCGTTGTCGAGCAGATCGGCCGGGAAGTCGCGGTCGCCTTTTCCGAAGCCTTCCTCTGGTGTTCGATGACTCTCCGCGCGCAGCGCGTGGGCCCGTAGTTGCCGTTGAAGAGGCGCCGTCGGGGCTTGGCGGGTTCGTGGGCCCAGAAGAAGCGCGCCGCGCCGCGCCGCAGACTCTTCGCGCAGTCCGGGGCCGTCGGCGGCGATTTCCTCGCCGAGCAAGCCAGTGGTGACGGGGTCGGTTCCCAAATTGAAACCCGCTGCTGGGCGCGCCGCCCGCGGCGCTGCTGATGTGGCGTCGTTGGCAGCAACTGGCGCTGCAGGGGCTCGGCGCCGCTCCGGGGGCTGAAGGGCCTGTGCCGCCCCAGCTCGATCCAGCCCCAGCGTCGCGGGCGCCCTGGCCCTGATCGCGCGCGGGCGCGCCTGGTGGGTCGCGCGCGCGGCCGAGGCGAGATTGCCCGGCGAGCCTTCGATCATTTCCAAATCTGCATGGCTGGCCCATCGCGTGCGCCACCCGCGGCGCGCCCGGCTGGCAGGCCGTGCTGCAGAGCTGCAGGGCCATGGCGGGCTGGATGTTCGCCGCGCCCGCCGCGCGCAGCACGTCGTGGCTGAGGCCCTCGTGGCCGGTCATGAATTGGCCGGCCGGCTGTTCTCTGTTGCGGGGGATGTGGAACCGGGTGGGGGGGAGGGGGGGGTTGTCAGTGCGCTCCTGCGGCAATCGTTTGAAGTGCATCAGAGCCGATGCCACCTGCGCGCGCTCCCCCTCTCCAAGCAGGCTCCACCGTTCGGCCTGGCTGTGCGTGGGGTAGGTCATGGGAGGCACTGGGTTGCAATTGATATGGGCTCCTTGGATGAGACGTTTTGAAACCGCTCGTCCACGTACTCGCGCCCGTGCAGGTCAAGCGAGACGAGGCGTTGGGCGCTTGGCGAAACTCGTTGAAGTCTGACTTCGCCACTGACCAGATCACCAGCTCCCGCCCCCAGCGTTGGAAAGGTGCGCGGGCTTGCTGCGCGGGCCCCCAGATCCGGAGGCGTCGCGCGTTGCCGCTGCCGCCGCCTCCCGCGCCCATGCAGGCGACGCGGCTGATGGCAGTGACCATGCCCGCTCCGATGGCCTTCTGTCCAGATTGGAACCCATCCAGGTGTTGAGGAGGCGTGGCAATCGCCGTGCCCGCCAACAGCGGTGTCCTGCTAGTGATTCTCGATGCCGGCGTGGGTGTATGTCCCTGGCGTGCTCCTCCGCATCGGCGCTCTCTTCTGTCGTGTGATTGGTGTGGGGCTCGCACTCGAAACACCCCGCCACATGGTGGCGAGAGAACTCGTCGTGCGTCGCGCTGTCACTGTACTAGGCGCTACCAACTGCACGATGGTCAATCGGAGTACGCGTCAGGATCCAAGTCTGCCAGGAAGCAAAGGAATGCGTAGGTACCATTGAGGGTCTTGCCCCAGAGAACCGACGACGAATAGTTGTCGAACGGTTTTCCGGGAGGATGGCGACATAGTTGCCCGACCCCCTTTTGCATTCCAGCTCTTGCCTGCGCGCGCCTCCCCAGGTTTCCGCAACAGAATATCGGAGAGCTCTGGGCGCCTTGCCGACGCCGACGGTGTGAGCCTCGGATCGAACGACTGCGGCTACGCCCACATGTGGACGCAATGAAAGCGGTTCGGCCTTTCCCCCCCCCGTCCTCAAGTTTCAGCGACACCGCTGCGAATAGCTCGGGGCCCTGTGCTGACGTCGTTCGGCGGTCTGACGCTGACGGCGGCGCCCACAGGCGGGTGCTGTGACGATGACGGGCCCCCGAGCATCTCGAACACAGTTCGAAAACACCTGAGGGGGGCGCGAGGCGCGCCGTCCTCAATTGTACGTGTACTTGTCCACGTAGTGGTGCTGGGTCTCCTCGGCTGATCCTGGCGGCTGGGCCGGCAAGGTCCCGACTGCCCCTAGAAACGAATCGTTTGCCGCAGCGAGGTGGACGAGCAGCACGAATGTAGAGCATGCAGCGCGTGATGTCGTAGTCGACGTGGTCGAACGGCCGCCGCTGGCACGAAAAGAAACCTCGCGGGCCATAACGGCGGATGTAATGGTGGAGCCAGATGCCCCTGCTTCCCGACAAGACATGTCAAACGGATGGCGAAGAACGGATCTTTTCAGTGGTGTGCACGGCGGTGCGAAGCGAATCTGATCGAGGGCGCGGGGGGCATGCGTTGAGCCCAGACGACTGCAGGGGAATTAACCACGCGCACCCATCAAGTACTGCTATGTTGCTGACATGAGCTATACATGCCACTATCGAGGTAACCGACCGTTCGAGATCAATGAGGTCGAGGAGAGCAGAGGTCGAGGAGGATGGTCGACGAGGACGAGAAGGGCGAAGGATCGAGGAGGACGGAGGATCGAGGAGGGCGATCGAAGAGGGCGGAGCATCGAGGATCGAGGAGGACGGTCGAGGAGGGATGAGGACCGAGGGGGAAGAAGAGGAGGAGGAGGAGGAGGAGGACATAGAATCGAGGATCGAGGAGGACGATCGAGGAGGGCAGGGCGGAGGATCGAGGAGTCCTCTGGGGGCCTCCAGCGCCCAGGGGGGGGGGGGTGCTGCGGCGCGCGGGCCCGAGGAGAGGACCACGAGACGAGCTGACCACGCACGTAGCCCAGGAGCAGCTCCCACCGTGGACCGCTCGGCGGCGAGCGAGGGGGGAATTGAGAAGGAGAAGGCCTCCTCCTCCTCCTCCTCCTCAGAAGGCGGCGGGGCTTCTCAAAAAGCCCCCGCGCCTTCTCAGTCGCTCTCTGCGCCTCCGGCGGAGGCTTAGAGAACTTCCCGGAAGGCCGGGGGGTGAGCCTTCTGCGACGGTCCGCCCCGCCTCGCTTCCCCCCCCCCCCTGACTCGCCGCCGAAACGAGCGAGGCCGCCCCCTTCGTCGGGCCAGCCAGGAGCGCTGCTCGCTCGAGAGGCCCACCGCTCCTCCTCCTCCTCCTCCTCCTCCTCCTCCTCCTCCTCCTCCTCCTCCTCCACTCCTCCTCCACCTCCTCCTCCCCCTTCCCCCTCCTCCTCCTCCTCCTCCTCCTCCTCCTCTTCCTTCTCCTTCTCCTCCTCCTCCTCCTCCTCCTCCTCCTCCTCCTCCTCCCCCTCCTTCTTACCCCTCCTGCTTTCTCCTTCGCCCCCTTCCCCCACCCCGTCCACGATTACACATTCCGAATACTACCCTGCTCCCTGACGCCATTTACACTTACCAGCACTGGCAACACGTCTGGCGAGCCGCACAAACTACTCGATGTAACTTGGAGCCAATGTTCGAAGTGTTCCGAAATCTGAAGACACACCACAGTCACGGTCCAAAGAAAGCTACCACGACTCCGAGCGATGATATGAGGCAGAATTATGGATTCGCTCAGCAAGGCCCATAACTTTCAAGCAAGGTGTGTGCGGAAGGTCTGTGAGATGGTTGCAACGTTCGTGTCACGCATTTCCAATACATACATGCTAGCAGAGGATCCAGCCAACGGTACATGCTTCTCAACTCTTACAACAACTGCTACTTGTTGGGGAAGTGGGCAGGTGCTCCAACCACCATGCCCTGCGAAACAAAAACACTGTTCAAGCAGGGGGTGTCTGTCCGGCCACGTGGACGTGCGAGCGCAGAAAGGGGAGGCCAAATCAAGAATGGGCCTCACAATTGCATCGTAAATGTGTCTCGTCTTGCTTTACACATGATGTGCCCCTCATGGCTACCTTGAGGGGCCCGGTGAAGTTGAGACATTTCGTAGCCAAACTCACCAGGCGCCGCCGCAGCAGAAGAAGATGAAATCTATTGACGTGTACTGGCGTCGTGGCAATTAAAATGCCTTCGAGTGTTCATCATCCTTGTCGTCTTCTTCGTCATCTTCTTCCTCTTCCTCCTCCTCTCGTCCACCCGGCGCGCCTTTGGCGCTCGGAGCTGTCTCTTCACGCGTGTGGCGTGTCTGCTCGTTCTCTTACGCACTCGGCGTGCTGCTCGCACGCCTGCGCCTCGCTGCGCCTGTCCTGCCCACGGGCGCTTGGCGCATGGCTGCTTCGTCCGTTCTCTCCCCCGACTCCGTCCGGAAAAGATCGCCGACTCTCTCCGCGCACTGCTCCCTGCGCACAGACTTGGGCAGCGCGGGTCTTCCCGATGGTCTCTTCTGCAGACCGACGGTTTTCTCGGCGTCTGAAGAGCGGTGCTCCCTCGCGGAAGGCATGGGCTTCGACTGTTCGGATCGACGCTGTGCCCCCGTCTTGCTCAGGAGTGGCCGCTCTGGCGCCCGCGGGGGCCACTCTTCGGGCTCCGGGTGCGCTCCTTCGTCGTCGTCGTCCCCCTCGTTGGCTCTTCTCCGCCTCCAGTTTCCAGTTACGACTGATGTCTCATGTGAACACAAGCAACAGTAAGCTCTTCTCCGCCTTCCCCTAGTCCTCCTGCTCCTCCAGCTCCTTCCACTCCAGTGCCTGCTGCTGCTGCTGTTCGTCCTCGTTCTCGTTCTCGTCCACGTCCTCCTGCTCTTTCCCTGCTCTTCACCCGCCAGCTCCTGTTCCCATACAGGCAGCTCCCCTCGTTTCCGATCGCGCATAACACGATGGGGTCGTTTTTTTTTCGACGCCGGCATTCCCCCGCTGTTCCCGTGCCCTGTATAGTGCCATTTTGGCCGAGACGACGTCTATACAGCCTGGTCGATGCACATTGAGTTGTGCGCAGGTGGGTCCACGATCTGCGTGGAGCTGCTGGAGCTGCGTGGATCTGCGTGGAGCTGCTGGGTCGAATATGCGACGCGTCCACGGACAAAGAACACAGCAGCGCAGTGGGAAGAGACCAGAGGGAGGGATGGGATGTGAGATGTGGCGCGAGCGCACCGATCTTCTCCTACTCGCTCTCGCCCTACTCCTCCTCGTCCTTCTCCTCCTTACCCCCCTTCCTGGGCGCCTGGAGTCGGCCTCGGGCCCGTCCAGCTCATCGTCCATCTCGCCCAGCAGCTCCTCGCCCATGAGCGTTAAGGTCGGGTGATCGTCGGTAGGAGAGGAAAGGATAGTGGAGAGGGTGGGAGTCAGGACGTGAGAGTACGAGGAGGCGGGGGAGCAGGCTAATGACGAGGAGGAGGGATGTTCATGAACATGAGGCACGAGGAGGGTAGTGAAGGAACTGGATCGGATGAGAAGGACGATGAGACGGAGGGGGAGGAGGATGACGAGAGACGAAAGACAGAGGGTGGGGAGGATGAACGAGGGAGAGGGATGAGGAGGAGGTGGAGAAGGAGAGGGGGGGGGGTGATGAGGATGGGGTAGGGATGAAGGATGCGGGAGGAGGCTGCCAGGGAGGACGATGGGGAGGACGAATGAAACGAGAAGAGGGATAGGGGGGGGGAAGCAGACGAGGGCGCTGAACAACACGACGAGAGATGGGGCACGAGGATGCAATCAGAAGGAGGATGCACGCGAGAGCACGACGACACAAGAACGACCACACACGACAAAGGGGAGCCCTCTTCCCTCCCGCTCTTTCACCTCGGCCTTCTCCTCCCCGACCCCGCGCGAGGCAGGCGGCAGAGCGAATGGCGACGGGGCATGAGAAAAGCGAGCGAGTGAGCGACCTGCTGCTCGGTGCCGTCGGATGCAACACCGCCGCCCCGTCGAACTTCCCCCCCCCGCGCCGCGGGGGGCGTACGAAGAAACGCCTTCGACGACTCAGCGCTGGTTCTGTGCAGGGGAGTGTCTGTTTCAGTGGAGGGGGGGGGGGGGGCGAAGGGCGGGGGACGCCTGGGTGAGGACGAGGTGGCGAGAGGGGGTGGCGAGGAGGGGTGACAAAGGGGGGGGCGACGGAGGGTGACGAAAGGGGGGATGAGCACGGAGTTCCCCATGCGTTCCATCTCTGGACAGATGAGGCAAACTGCAACATATAGCAATCCCACCAGCCCTCTGGGCGTCGGTGGTTTAGAGCGTTTCCTCTTCCACCCCTCCTTCTTCCCCTTCGGGGAGGGGTTTACCCCTCCCCCTACCCCCTCCCCACTGACCTGGACAGGGGGGGCCGCGGGTAGTTAGAGCGTCCAAGATCGACTCCTGGGAAGGCTAAAATTCGACACCCCTCACGAGGATCGTGGCTCCTGAGGGGGGGGGGGCTGTAATTAGGGAACCCCCCTTCGTTGATCGATCTCCTCCAAGATTGTTCCAACAGACGTCTTGGACCCCCTCTTGGGCTCTGCGCGCGGGCGGGCGGAGCGCCGCCCGCCCGCCCGCAAGGCCCAAGAGCCCACCAAAACGTTCGAAGACACTTCCAATACGCCACCAGGGAGGAGGAAAAGGCGGAGGAGGAGGAGGAGGAGGAGGAGGAGGAGGAGGAGGAGGAGGAGGAGGAGGAGGAGAGGGAGGAGGAGAGGAGGAGGAGGAGGAGGAGAAGGCGGAGGAGAAGGAGGAAGAGGGGAGGAGAACAGCTGCCGATCATCGGCGCTCTTCGTTCGAGTGCCTGGTGTAGGATGGGCTGGTGGGGATACGCGAAGCGTCAAGAAATTCTTCAGGCCGCCTCTGAAAGAACGACGTACAGAGGGCTGCGCCAGCACGGCGGTGACATTGGCGATTAGTTTTTTGGATATTTTGGACGGGAAAGACGATGAAGGGAGAACTCGGACTCTCTCTCTCTCTCTCTCTCTCTGTTTTTCTCCGCCTCTGAAAAAAGAGGGGCGGGACGAGGCGGACTACGACGAGGACAACGACGGAGGCATGACCGAGCTCGAGGATGGGCTGAACCACCTGCACGAGGAGGCGGACAAAAGCGTTAGAGACGTGACGGACACGATGACGACCTTGAACGAATGCCTTTTAGTCGAACCGACCGCGTTCATCGCGGGAAACAACCCCCGACATAAGAAGGCATTTGCCGCGTACATTAAAAGAACGTCCGATCACAAGTCAGACATCCATAGAAGCTGCTCGGTCTCGCTAGATCAAACTCTAGCTGAGAATTGAAATGCCGCATACCGACGTTTGCCAACTATCACGATCAAGCAAGAACGGCATGGGTGATTCAAAACTGGAGGGCGAAGAAGAAAGAAACACGGGCAGCGGCGTGCAATATCCAGCAAATATTCTCGCTGGGTCATGCCACAAAGAACCGCGAAACGTGGAATCCGACCATGACTCTACAGGCCGGCCGACGTGCGCGCCAGGGAGTACTAGCTGCCCGAGGCGTAAGACACATCAGCTCGTCTGGCGAGTGCGTGCAATTACCTGCCAGGTCTGCGCTCCCTGGTCCAAGAAGCGTCGAGCTTGAAATGCTGGCTTGCCCCAGGGCTGAACCGTTTAGGTCCAGCCCTGGTCCAGGAAACGTCGAGCTTGAAATGCTGGCTTGCCCCTACCTGGAGGCCGCCCAAATCGGGCCACCGCAGATGAAGCCAGAAGATCGCACCGCATCGCCGATTCGTCAGCGACGTCGGGATGAAGGAACATCGGGGTCCAGATCGCTGCGTACTGTCGGCCTTGATTGGGCAGGACGCGCGAGAGGACACAGGACCCTTCCGAGGGCCACATTGCCATGGGAATGTAGGAGGCATGGGTCGCGAGACACAGGACACAAGGGTACCCTTAGTTTGGCAGGGTCGACCTGCTAATCCGGGCCGACCACATGCGGCGCGATCCTCTGACCCCATCCGCTCTGGCCCCGCGTAGGCAGCCCGGACAACCCGTCCACCCCCCCCCCCAAGTACTCGGCACGCCAGAGTCGCCATAAAAACCTGCCTGCTCGACAATCTGCGACTGGGAAGCTGCACCCGCCACCTGCTGAGCGCGAAGGAATGGGCCCCACATATCTGGCTTCTTTTGAACCCCCATCTGCTCCAAACGAGGCCCTCAAGGGCCCCTTTCTTCACCCCCCATTGTAGGACAGCTCCCCTGAACACCCGCCCGATTGTTTTCGAAACCGAACGTTCTCACTGCAACCGCCCGCATGCACGCGTCGTCCGTCCCGAGGCGGCTCCCGACCTGTCTCCACGAGCCCTCCAAGATTGCCTCCACGGCGGCGCAGGGCGAATTCCAGGATGCCACGTGTGATGCCAATAGGGCTTACGAGCTTCTTGAGAGGGCACATGCGGCCACAACCATGCCAACTAACAGCAGCTTTCCAAACCCCCTCTCTTCCCAAAGGCTCTTGGGTCGAGATTGCCTGCGTGATGTTCAAGAGGGCCCACGCACGGCCCCAGAGCGGCAAATAACTTCCCAAGGCAGCCCAAGAGCATGACAAGAGACACCCAAAGGCCCCTGGAAAGGCCTAAGACGACCAAAGAGGGCACAATCTACCCTAAGAGACGCTCTACGAGGCCGCAAGAAACGGCCAAGACAGCCCAAGTGATGTAAACACACTCGACCGTTGTACTTTCTGGGCCTTCTGAAGCAATTCGACCCACTATGGCTTCTTGAGCAACATGGAGCGGGGCTCCGAATCGGTTGCAGAGTGGCCCACGGTGTCCAAGACGGCTTGGGCAAAAAACTTCCAACGAATCCAAGAGCCCTCAAGGGCGAGCCGAGAAACAGCAAGAGAGGCCCTAACATATATATATATATATAGAGAGAGAGAGAGAGAGAGAGAGAGAGAGAGAGAGAGAGAGAGAGGGAGAGAAAAAGAGAGAGAGAGAGAGAGAGAGCCAACACAGCCCAGGGCTGAGTAGGCCCTCTTTGGGGGCCCATTCAGCAAATTATTGAAGAATCTAGTGTTTTCCTGCTTTGTCTTACTGTCCTGGTAATTCGACCCAAGACGGCCTCCCTGGCAAGATGGCTTCAATTCAGCTCGAGAGTGGACTAACGCCTCCCCAGAACGATCCAAGAAGACCCAAAGAAATACCAAGAGGACCTAGGAGGCCTACTACGGTACACGAGGCCCCCGAAAAGCCGCAGGCGTGCGCCCATAGGACGCCAGCACATATACAGACTGTCCAGGGAGGCACCAACAGAACGCCAAGACACCTCCGAAGGGCCCCACAGCGGCTCCGAAACGATCCACGGGACCCCAAGATGCCCCCAAGGCAGCCCAAGAGGACCCCATGACGCCCCATCCCCTCACTACTTGTCACAGCCTTCCTTCTACGGGGGAAACGGGCTGTTTCATGGTACGCCCTTGGCCGGGCCCACTTAAGAGCGCGTCACGTGCCACGGGCGTCGGGAGTCTACGGACGAAAACTGTCACATGTTGTGGCTCTCGGGGCAGTTTCCGAAGGGTCGCAACACAAACTGCTCTGTTGGCACGGTGGCGGAGCTTAACGCAAGCACCTGGATAGTGGTTCGTAGTTCATTTCGCAAGCATGACGATATGTGATGTAGTATTGAAAGGCAGTGGGGGCTTATCCGCTTGTGAGAGAGATTTAGCAGGAATCGCTGCAGGTTCCAGCGCCAATTCGAAGCAAAAAGAAGCAGTAAGAATCTACTATTGCTTGCTCGCTGGTCCATGGCGCAGTGAACTGCGAAGTATGATTCTGGAACTGAAAAATTGTTCGGCAGACGATGCCACGGCAAGCCCTAGGATACCATAGGTGGTGTGCGCACTTGGACGTCTGGAACATCCGTCCAAATTGCTTGCCCAATCTGCGCTCGCTGATTCATGACGCGCCGAACTTGAAACGCGGCATCGTCGATCGATGTCAGGCCCACCGTGGCTTGCAACGGACCGGCCACATCTGGGCGAACTGCTCGAGACACGCGGCAATATCATCACACCCCCTCGTGGGGGAGCCCAAAGAAACAATTCTGCCGCCTCATCCCTCCCACCGCCGCCCTCCTCCTCCTCCTCCTCCGCTTCCGCCTCCGCCTCCTCCTCCTCTTACTCCTCCTCCCCCTCCCCCACTCCTACTCTCCCTCCTCCTCCTCCTCCTCCTCCTCCTCCTCCTCCTCCTCCTCCTCCTCCCTCCTCCTCCCCCTCCCCCTCCTCCCTCCTCCTCCTCCCCCTCCCCCTCCTCCTCCTCTTCCTCCTCCTCCTCCTCTCCTCTCCTCCTCCTCCTCCTCCTCCTCCTCCTCCTCCTCCCCCAGCCTCCACTCCAGCCCCCGACGCCTCGGTCGGTGCCATCCACGGCCGCCTGCTCGACAGAAAAAATAGCCCTGGGTAATCGAAGCCAATCTGGCGCCAATCTGGCAGGCCCAATCTGGCAAACGGGGACAGTCTGGCGAGGGACCCAACGCGATATCCAGTCTGGCGACAAATCCAAATCATCCAGTTTGGCCGGGCCAGATTGGCCTTGGGGCCCAATCCAATCTGACAGTCTGGCCTTCGACTACCCAGATAGCAGATCGCCTGGGACGAGACAGACTCATGGTAAAGTTAAAACACGGCGTGTAAGCTCCACAGGATGTGCTGGCTGGTCCATGGCACAGCGAGCTACAATCATGGAATCTCACTAACGGAACTTTCGCCAACGCATCCCAGCGATGACGAACTCGATCGCCACATTTGCATGAGGCACGTCTGTGCTGAATTACGCTGCGCTTCCAAATTTTGCCTCCGCATCCCCCCCGACATGCTAGAGGTGAATCGCGGCCACCAGTTCCCCAAACCTTGGACGGGTGGGCCACTCGCACACGTGGCAGCGTTTGCAGGACGTGCCATCCTTGCAGCCGCGGGCTTTGCGGAAGTACTTGCACGCCCCAGCACAATTGTGAGGGTGATTGGCGGAACCCAGCGACACCTTCTCCGGGTCTTGGCCCGTCCACTCCATTCTGCCGTTCCCCGTGGCGACGACTGCCGGCACAGGCGCCGGGTTCCAAGCTGGCTGCGGCGACCGCACGACTGCCAACTCGGGCGCCAGGTTCGAAGCCGGCTGCCACACCACTGGTGCGTGCATGGCTGGCCTGGCCGTGCTTGCCACGGAAGCGAGCATCAATTTCTCTGGCGTCGCGCCACCGCGTGCCATGGCGCTCCCGCAGAGCCGGGGCGCCAGGGCGCCGCCCGCGCCCTGCTGGCGCCGCCTGTCGCGCGGCCACACGCACAGGTGACACCTGTCGTCATGTTGCTCCCATCGTACTTCAGGACCACATCCCAGAAATAATTTCGAGCACCCGGAAAAGTATCGAAAGAGTGTCGAAACAGTGTCGGGGGAATGTCTCCCAGGGCCCGACGCGTGAAAACCCTACAGTTTCGTTTGTTTTCTGGTGCTCGAACTTCTTTCTGGTGGTCAAGGCTAAAGTAGATTGGAACACCATGAACCTGTCGCAGGCCTGGCCGTCCTTGCACCCCCGAGTGTTGGTGGACCAATACTTGCACGGTCCGGCGCAGTTGATGGGATGCCCGATGGCGCCGAATGAGGTGCCCGATCGTGCGCTCGGTTTCTGACGGCGCGGATGCGCCTGCTCGGGCACCGGCACGGGCGCCGCGCGCTGGCTCGGCAGGTCCAGCAGGGGCGGCAGGGGCACCTGCAGCAGCTTGTCTGGCACGAGGCCTGGCGGGCCTGGCATGCTGCGGATGAGCTGCCTGATCAGATTCTCGAGCTTCGCCCTGTCGTGGGTGCTGTAGCCAAGCCTCGGGCCCTCCGCTTCTGCCGAGCACCCGCCGGCAATCGCACGGCTGCCGTGCGGACTGCCGCTCCCAACCGCGGCACCGCTCCAATCCTCCTCGGCGGGCGAGGAGCGGCACGACGCCAGCTCTCCCGCGCTCGGGGGCACCCGCTCCCGGGGCGGCTGGGAGCCCCCCCCCCCTGCGGCTGCAGGAGGGGGCCTGACCGCTCCAGCCGCCCAGGGACGGGCGCCCCCGACCGCGGAGCAGACTGCTCTGCAACCGCAGGCCTAGAGGTTGACACCAACACCAATATCAGCGGTGTGCCTCCACCGAAGGAAGAAGATCCCGATCTCGGTGATGGTGGTAATAATTATGTCTTCCAAGGTGGCCGACATATTGCCACCAACATCGAAATTTAGGACCATCTTCTCCATGTGGGGGCAACACCCTGTGTTGGTATTGGTGCCCATTTCTAGGCCTCCAATCGCAGGCCTAGAGGTTGACACCAACACCAAGATCGGCGGTGTGCCTCCACCGAGGGAAGACGACCCCGATCTCGGTGGTGGTGGTCATATTTTGGCTTCCAGGGTGGCCGACATATTACCACCAACACCGAAATCTAGGATCATGTTTCCCATGTGGAGGCAACCCCCTGTGCTGGTGTTGGTGCCAATTTCCAGGCCTCCGACCTCCTCCGCCCGCGGCGCTCCTCCCGTGCTGGCGCCGCGGCCACCGCCGCCGACGGGCCCAGGCCGCCGCCGCCCGCGGCAGGGCGCCCGGCGCCCGCAGGGCGGGGCCGACACGTCGCGGCAGCGCCCCCCAGAGCTCTGCAGCAGAGGCTGCACATCGCCCCCTGGCTCATGAAGATGAAGGGGCCCAAAGACACACAAACAAATACACACAAATAACGGGATTCGCAATATTTTTTCATATTTTTTGGATTTTCGTCTTCCCCCCCACTTCCCATATTTTCCCGTATCTTCCTGGGAATCGACGATTAATTGTGTCTGTGTGTGTTTTTCCCCTCCTGAGAAGAGGCCTCTCCCAAACGGGGCTCGAGCAGGTGGTGTCGGAGGGCCGTGCCGCATCGCCGGCGCATCGCCGATGCACCGGCGACGCCGGCGTGGAGAAGATCGGGCTCCACACAGAGCCGCATCGCCGATGCCTCGGCGATGCGACGCGATCCTCCGATCGCATCGACTCGGACCCAGTTTGGGAAGCCTGGGTTGTGCTCAGGGCGCGTTGCGATCGCGTTTGCAAAACAAAACTTGAACCGAACGGCATGTACGGCAAATTGGTGCCGCGAGGACTTCGGCGTTGAACGATCCCGGCGTTCCGATAGCGCCCGCGCTGGGGTCGCCGCCGAGTTGACGGGGCGCGAACCTGCCGTGTGTAGGAGGGGGATGGGGGAAAGGGAGGAAGTTGCTTCTGCTGCTGCTCCTTGTGCTCCTCTTCCTGCTGCTCCTACTGCTCCTCCTCATGTTCCTTCTCCTGCTTGTCCTCTTGCTGCTCATTTTTTGTTGTTCATCTGATATCAGTTTCTGCAGATCAATAGAAGTGGACGGAATTGAACGGAGGGAGTGTTAGCACGTCAAACTGCAAGCACTGTTTGGAGAGGATCGCACCACATAGCGCACCCTCCAGATCTTGCACCACGAAGATTGAGCCACATAGATTGCACCACTTGCACCACATGTATTGCACCACATAGCTGACGCCACACATATTGCACCACATGTCCTGCACTACATGTCTTGCACCACGGAACTCACATCACATAGATTGCATGATTAAGATACACCACATTTGTGGTACTGCGTTGCTTACATCACTCAACTAACGATGTAGGTACTGCGCTGTATAGACAACACCATCGTAGCTCGCACCACAGATATTGCACTGCGCAGACTGGACAACCTAGATTGCGCCATACAGCATTCACCACATAGAGCACACCACAGGTAGTGCACCACATATATGTGTGGGGCAGGCGGGGGGGGGGAGCGAAAGCTTACTGAATTAAGGAGAAAACTCTTTCCCTCTTCATCGGCCAAAGCTGTTGACAGAGCTTAAACTCCGATGGGCATTTGTAGTTATATCTACAGAGGCCTCTGCACGGAGCTCGAAAGGTATACTCTCTTTTGCACGGACCGTCCCCCCCACGCCAGAGCACAGACCGCACCCCGAGGCCAGAGCTGGATTCGCAGACCACCATCCGCAGACTGGGGTCGACCACCATCCGAAAGACTGGGGCCAGAACGCTCCACGGCCTCGGGGGCCAGGGGAGGCTCGACGGCCTTGGGGGGGGGCCCAGCAAAGAGAACCCCCTGAGAACCCAGCAGGACCTTGCCCATGAAGCTCGAGCTCTCGCGAGACTTAATTACACTTGCCACTTATGGCGGTATGTGGGTGGGCCAGAACAGCTGCCATGCAAGCGAAAGCGGCCGATGTGACACGCTACCCCCCCGACGCCCACACATCTTCCGTAAACGTATACATGTGTGGGGCAGGCGGGGGGGGGGGGGAGCGAAAGCTTACTGAATTAAGGAGAAAACTCTTTCCCTCTTCATCGGCCAAAGCTGTTGGCAGAGCGTAAACTCCGATGGGCATTTGTATTTATATCTACAGAGGCCTCTGCACGGAGCTCGAAAGGTATACTCTCTTTTGCACGGGCCGTCCCCCCCACGCCAGAGCACAGACCGCACCCCGAGGCCAGAGCTGGATTCGCAGACCACCATCCGCAGACTGGGGTCGACCACCGTCCGAAAGACTGGGGCCAGAACGCTCCACGGCCTCGGTGGCCAGGGGGGGCTCGACGGCCTTGGGGGGGGCCCAGCAAAGAGAACCCCCTGAGAGCCCAGCAGGGCCTTGCCCATGAAGCTCGCCAACTCTCGAAAAAGACACCGAAGCTCTCAATTCTGTGTTTTTCCTCTGGCCGCAGGCCGAAGAAATATCAAGACTGGCGACGGCAGCTCTGGCAGCAGCTCGCACCAGTCACGAAAGATTAGTTGCAGCAGGTCACGGGCTGCAAAACGCACAGACACGAGACAAGTCCCCCGACGGCAGGTAGCACGGGCGCGGTACTCCGCGCGTCAGGCTGTGAAGTGACAGGGCAAGGCGCAGGCGCCGATCTGCTGGGGCCAAGCACGGAACAAGTCAAGGAAGGCGCGCGTTGCAGGGCCAAAGCCGGCACGCACGCCGCAGCTGTGGAGGACGACTGCGCCAGCCAGCGGGTCGTCGAGCGTGGCCTGCTCCCGCGCGCTCTTCTGGCAGGACGCATTGGTCCAGGGCAATGACACACGCCTCGGCCACAGGGTTCAGACAGATGATGCGCTGCACAGCCCCAAATTCTCGCCAATGCGAAGGCAGAGTGGAAGGCCACGAGCAGCACGGCCGCGAAAGCCACCCGTTCGGCGGCTGGCGCTTAATCCGCGAACGCCGTGCAGAGCTGGGCAGGCATCGGCGGCGCGCGCTGAAGGATCTCCAGTCTTCTAGACTGTCAGCAGCTGCTAAGCCACAGGATAGCGGCGCCTCACCTCAGCACGTGCTGCGCGCCGCTGAGGGCGTCATTGGCCAGACTATTTGTGCGCCCTTTCGGCCCACAAGTGCACGGGGTAAACGCGCCGGCAAACGCAGTAACGTTCTACGTCAAAGGCAGCGGCAGACCATTGGCAGCAAGGTAGTCAACATAAAGCTGAGCGCCAGTGTCGAGGCGCTCATCCTGGCGTTTTCTCCGTCTCTCCAGCCCAGCTCCGGCAGCGCGGCGGTCAGCAGGGTCACTCGCATCCCCTATCGCGGAGACGCGCGGGGGGGAGTCCGCGGGGCTCCGAGCCGACGACGTGAAGCCGAAGACCGCCTGCGCGCCGATCGCCAGCTCCCACGCCGAGAGGGTCCGCATCACCATGGAACACAGGACTGCTGAAGCGGTGCTTGGACAGCGCACCGTGTTGACTATGCTGCCGAGCAGGTGCAGGAAGACGCACTGGCGGCGGCGCCTTGACCGCTTCGCCATGGGAAACATCATCTGCGCGCCCTGGCACCCGAGAGCGTTGACGTAACCCGCTGCATCCCACAGTGGCTTCCTGGTGGGCACCACTGCCCAATGCCTGGGGCGAACTCTTCCCGCGGGAAGATCTCGTTGAGCGTCTCCCAGGCCCCAGCGGTTCTGATGTACGCACCGTTATTGCGGGGCCCCATGACGAGCTCCTGACAATGCGTCTGGACGCGTCCAGCTCGCATTACTCCTCCACGTCAGGCCTCGCAAGCGCTGTCAAGAGGATGTTGTGCGGCACGCCTGGCCGGTCCCACAGTGGCGGACGAGCAGGGCCCCCCGCAGCGACACCAACCTCTGCAGGAGAGCTGGTTGTATGCGGATCCAACCAGCGAGCAGGGCAACAGCGCCCTCCCGTGACCTCGCGGAGATCGCCGAGAAGGGGGGTTGCCTCACTGCGAGGCAGCCAGGGCCCACTGCCGAGACACACGACCCACGTAGATGGGACCGCCAGCGCGTCCAGCATGGCGTGCGGGCCCTCGTCGATCTCGGAGCGGCCCCAGTGCAGCGACGGCGCGTCGCCGGCCCACGCTCACGCACTGCGTGCAGCTCACCCAGCGAGGGCACTGGGACCAGCCGCCCAGCACCGAAGGCCCAGTGGCCGATCATCCCGGCCACCACCTCGCAGTGGAAGGAGTTGCCCGCGAGCGACTGTTGAAGAGCATCGTACTTGGCGGGCTCGATCTCCGCCTCGCTGCTCATCATGCACGGCGCAGTGTGGTCCTCCGGGCAGACCATCAGCTTCTCTCGTATCCTGGCGTCAGACCGCTCGACGCGGTCGTCCGCCCAGTGCAAGCACCACTTGCCACGGAACTGGTAGGGCGGCGAAGCGAAGCCACCCGTCTCCCAGCTCGCCAGCTCCGCAGTGCCGCACTCCTCAATGTCCGCCAGCCTGGGGCGCAGCTGCGAGCACGGCATCCAGCGCCCGAAGGTCGGCAGCAGCTCCCCCCGCAGCGGGACCTGAACACGCAGCCTCGGCTGGGAGCCACTCCTCGAGCGGCGGCCGCTCCGCCTCCAGCGCCGCCCCGCAGGCGCACTGCACGTCCTGGGTCTTGCCCCGCACCACGACGGGCACAGCCTCGAACGACGGCAGGGGACCCCGCGAGACCCAGTGGAGCCGCGGACGTCGGACCCAGCCGACATCCAGCCACGATCTCCGGCAGGGTGCGGCCGAAGAGCTGGTTCGGGCGCATCGCGTCGCACTCGGGCACCGACGTGGCGTTCTCCCCGACGAAGACGATCGACGCCTCCGGCATGGCCGCCGCAGCATATCCTCGACCCGCACCATGTGGTCGGCAGGCCCGCCCGCGGGTCGTCGAGGCCCTGCCGAGCGACGTCGGACCCGCGAAGACCCGGCACGGGAAGCCACCCACCACCAGCATACACGACACGCGGCCTCGGGCGCGTAGCCGGGCTGCCATGGCCGCCGGGTCCGCCTCCATCACGTCCCCCAGGTGCTGCCTGCTGGGGTAGCTGCGCCGAGCCATCCGCGTCGCCGGGGGGCCAGCCCGAACGGTAGGCGCACGGCAGGGGCCAGTCCGAGGGCCTCGGGAACCCGGCACCCGCCGACGATCCCGCCGAAGCCACTCACGAGGCCAGTCACCTCCTCGCATGCGGCGTCCGCTGGTCGCTGCCGCCCCTCGGGCAGCGCGCGCCCACGGTCGGAGAAGGCGTCGCCATAGATCACGGCGCCAGAGGCCTCGGAGGCATCCGACGCGGTCCTCAGGGGGTCGACCTCGAGGCGCGGATCTGCGACGTAGAGCCCTGACAGCGCAAGGCACATCAAGAGATCCTCGACCAGGCTCACGCTGAGGCGGCCGCCAGTGCGAGGGCTCGCGGGCCGCTCCCGGGCGAGGGCCCAGCTGGCCGCCAGCGGCCGCCAAGAAGAAGCGAACTCGAACCCAGCGGCCCAGCAGAATGCGCACCGCCCGCCTCCTGGCCCGTCTCAAGCTCAGCGCCCACAGCGTGAGGCTGGCCATCGCGGTCAGGCAGCCCGTGGAGGCCGCCGAGCGCCCTCGACCAAGTCGACGGGCACCCCCAAGGTTGTCGTTCGCAGCACTTGATGGATACCTTCGGCCGGCGACCCCGGGGGGGCCAGCAGCCGCGTAGCAGGCGCGGCCCTCGGAGATGAGCTCGGGCACCGTCTCTGCGGCATCGCGGCCGCGGACTTGCTCGCGATCTCTACGACCTCCAGGTTGTCAATGTAGACCATCCGCGCCGCACGGCATGGCTTCTCCACGCTGAACGGCAGCCTCGGCGTCGAGTGACCTCCCCGCTGGGCGGCAGCCTGCGAGGGACAGAGGTACTCCGCCGCAGCAGGTTGCGGTGGAGGTGGGTCGCCACGCCCGCGGAACTGATCCAGCCCAGGCCGACCACCCGCAAGCAGATGTGCGCGGTCCCGCCGCCCTTCAGGCCGAGCAAGTCCGAGGGGGCAGCGGAGCCAACAACGGTGTAAGGCCGCCGCGCAGGCGACCCGCGAAGACGTAGAAGAAGGCCTCCTTGCCCGCGCGGCGCCACAGCAGACCCTCCGACTCGGACAGCGCCAGGCCGTTCAGCTGGATCATGGTCGGGAGCTCGGGGGCGACTCCCACGATGCACTCCTGGCACGTGTTCGACGGGATAAGGTTGGTGGTCAGCCTCAGGGTCGCCCGGCGCCTGCGCTGCAGACCGCGGGCACGCCGTGCAACTCGGGCACCCCGAAAGCCCCGTGCACGTCCGGCAGCGCCAGCTCGTCCAGCCCCTGCTCCAGCGTCAGCCAATGTGGCGCCGAGATCTCGTCCCCGCCGCAGACGATCATGGATGCTTCAGCCGCACTTCCAGTCGAGAACTGGTGACAGAGCCGACTCGGCCCGTGTGGCCAAGTGGAGGCGGCGACCGAGAGCGGCCAGGGCTGCCTCCCGCGCGGTCTAGGTCCGACCTCGGCAGGGTCTGGCCAGCCTCGGGGGAGCCGAATCAAGCCTCCCAGTTCAGCGTCAGGACAGCGACCACCCGCCTGCAGTGTAGTCCTTCCCACTCCTTGTCGCTAAAAATGGGTCCTCGCCCTGCTGGGCGATCTGGGACCTGATGAAAGAAGGGTGCGGTAACGGCAACAGATCTCGCTGAAGCCGACCTCCCATGTCGGCCGAATGCTCGCGTGGCTTTATCTCGAGGGAATATCCAGTGGAGCGAACGGAAGGAGCCTGGGAACTCGCGGACTACATTCAACCTCATGGGGCCCACGTCGAAAAAGTTCTCGCGGAAGATCACTCCCCGCGCCAGCCCACGGGCCCCACCCTGCCAGCGGATCTGCCCTATCACAGCCGGCAACCGTGCTGCAGATCTGCGGGCGCGGCGAGGATGCTGGGCGGCCCGCGGTGGCAGCATCATGGCGCCCAGGGGCCAGGCCCGAAGACGGCGAGCGCAACGGCGAAGTCCAGGGCGGTCTGCACGAGCGGGCAACCTCGGCACACGCGGTCACATCCGCACGCGCCCCGTCAGCGCCGGCACCACCAGCTCGCTGCCTCACTCTCGTCGCAGGAAGCCCGCCTCGACCTCGGCCCCGGTGCATCCGCCTGGCCTCCTAGCGGACCTTGCCGCGGGCCCGCTGCCGCCGCAGCCGCGGGCCAGTCCTGCCTGAAGACGTGGCGCTCCGAGCTCGCCGCCAGAGAGGCGCGCCTCGGCTCGTCCGCCACCCTCAGGTGCGGGCTGGCGCCTCGAGGCGTCCTCAGCGAGCCCGGAGATGGCGGCCTGCCCGCGCTGCCTGAGCGCGCTGCGCCTGGGCGGCCCGCGGGCGGGGCTGCGCCTGGGGCCCTGCCCAAGGCCGTTCTGGGCCTACCGCCCGCAGGAGAAGAAGCGGCCACGGCCGCGCCCGCTGCTCCTGCCGCGACCGCGGCTCTGCTGGTGGCTCGGCGAGGACGAGTCGGCTCTGCCGCTTCCGCGCCCGCCTCCTCGGGTCGGGCTTGACGCTCGCCCTGGCCCCTGCCACCGAGCTTGCCGCAGCTCTTGGCGTCCAGCAGCCTCCTGCGCAGCATCGCCGCGTGCCGCGCCAGGCCCTGCTCGCCCATCGAGGCCAAGAAGAGCCGCGCGTCCGGCACGACCCCAGCTCGCTCGCCATCCGCCAGCGCGCGTCGGCCAGGGACAGCTCCAGAACCTCGAACCGCTGCGCAGCACGTCGCACAACTCCGCCAGGCATCCATCCTCCAGCGAGTCCAGCACGGTCGCCAGCGCCTGCAGCACACGCTGAGTGTTGATCAGCATATGCCCTGGAGGGTGATGGCCGAACACCACGACCTGCAAGTATCCCATGACCTTCGCGCGAGCCTCCGAGCCGCCCGCCCCTTTTCCTGCATGCCCCTGACGCGGCTGATGTTCTTCATCATCGCCTCGTCGTGAAGGGCACCTGGGCGCTTCGCCACCAGCGGCCGTACGCTGCCGACGCAGGAGGGGGGCCTCGCCAAGACGCGACTCTCCGTCGTCGCCCCTGTGCGAGCCTGGGGCGCCCCGGGGGCAGCGTCGACCGCGGCCGCCAGCGGCGCCGCCAGGCGTCGTCGCTGCAGCCTGCGTGCGCGCCGCGGCAGCACCCGCCAGGCGGTCGGGGGCCGGGCCTCCGAGGGGGGCGGCCCCTGCCAAGGCCACGCCGCCGCCGGGCCCGCCGAAGATGCTCGGCCGCACCCATGGCTCCACGATCGCGCGGTTCAAGCGCAGCCGCAGCCACTCGACGTGCGGGACTCCTCGGCCAGGCTCGGCGGGCTCCCCGCACAGTGCCGGTCCCTGCCCGCGCGAACGCAGGAGGCTGCAGGCCCAGCGCCGCGCGGCGGGGACAGGCCATCCAGCTGCTTCGCCTCGACCACCAGCGACGCTCTCCTGAACTGGGCGCATCGTACTGCTCAGAGCGGCCCGTGGCCCCGATCTCCTCTTACCTCGAACGAGGCAGTCCCGCTGATGCCCCCAGCTGCGACCAAGGTCAGGAGCACGAGATTCGCACCTCGGCGCCAGGCGGCACCAAGCAGGGCCACTGGCTGCCGCCACGGACCGCCCACGAGAGTCCCAGCCGCGCGCCGGCCGCGGGGGGCGACCGGCTCGCCTGCCACCGCGATCGGCAGTCCACGGATCGTCGGCCCCCAGGTGCCGCACGTGGAGGAGGGCCACCAGGGGGGGGGGCCGACGCCGCCGTCCACGAGTGCCCCCGCCAGCGCAGCGCCCACGTCGCCGAGGGGAAGCCTCCGCCCCAGGCACGGCGCCGCCACCCGGGGGCGCCTCAGCACCCGCGCCGCCTCCGAGGTCGGGCAGGCCGGGCAGCGCCGCCAGGCCAGGCGCCGCAGATGCGCCAGCGCCCTCGCCGCGGGCGCGGCCGCCGTAGCACCGCCGACCGCCGCAGCCGCCGCCAGGCCGGAGCAGCCGCGGGAAGGCGACGGCGCCTCCGCCTCTCTCCGCGGCTCCTCGCCCGAGGCCGCCGGCGCCGCGCCCTCGGCTGCGGCCGCGCGCACGGCCCCCGGACTTTCGCCTTAGCCTTAGCCTCGGCCCTGCCCCTGGCGACGGCCCTCGCTTTTGGCGATCTCGACCCCCCAGGCCGGCGAGCGCGAAGAGCAGCGCGCCCGAGACCCGGGCGGACACGAGCAGCACCGCCCTCTCCTCCACGCCGAGGCGGGCGTGCCACCCCGCCTGCTGGGTCAGCCCGATGACGTAGCCCAGCTCGCAGACCTCCAGGAGGGCTCCGCCTTCGGCCAGGGCCAGCGACTCCCCTCGCCCGAGGGGTCCAGCGCACCAGCCGCAGAGGCACACGGGCGGCGGGCGCGGCACGGTGCTCCTCGGGAGCGGATCTGCCCTCCCTGGAGGGCGCAAAACCAGCCAGAACAGCTGCCATGCAAGCGAAAGCGGCCGATGTGACACGCTACCCCCCCGACGCCCACACATCTTCCGTAAACGTATACATTGCATTACTTAGCTTGCATTCCGATCGCACCACATAGATGAAACCACACGGCTAGCACCACATAGACGAGCACGTTAGATCCCACAGCATACATTGCACCACATAGCTTCCACCACATAGCTCGCACCACACACACGGCACCACACAGCATGCACTGGGGTGTTGTGTGTGTGGGATGAGCGAGGAAACTGGAAGGCGAAACGGCCATGGCCGCCCGAGATGGGCGCGCGATTCCTCGAGAAGCCGTGCGCGTCACACGAGCGCGACGCGCTGCAGGGCAAGCGACCACGCCGCCCTCGAGGCCTGCAGCCCTCGGCCCGAGGCACCCGAGAGCCCCCGGGGAGGCCTGCTCCTCCCGTGCTCCTTGCCCTCGGACGGCGGCACGCGCGCGCCAGCTCCTCCCTTCTCCCCTCCAGCTCCTCCCTTCTCTCTTCTCTCCCTTCGCTCCTCCAGCTCCTCCTCCCTTCTCCCCCCTTCTCTCCCTTCTCTCCTCCAGCTCCTCCCTTCTCCCCTCCAGCTCCTCCTCCGCCGGCGGGGCGGCTCCCCGTCGGTGCTCGCGTCCAGCTCCGGCTCCTCCAGCCGGAGGGGGATAGGGGGCAAGGAGGGGGGCAGGGCATCGGCACGGATCGACCACGGGAGCGCGGGCAAAAAAGGAAGGGTCAGAAGAAGGATACATACGACGTGTCCCCGCGCTACAACCTTCAGCTAAACGCCACGCCCTGGAGAGACACGCAGTCACGGCGGGGACGGCATCAGGTGAGCGAGGGGGAGGGAACGGATACGTCGGAGGGGGAAACATGGCCAACAGGGGGAGGGGGAGGATAGGAGGGGGGGCGACAGAGAAGAGAAAGATGCTGTAACGGCAGGAAGAGATGATCCCGACGGACGAGGGGTCGAGAACGGAAAGCAGAGACGAATGGGGAAAAACAACGGGGTAGCCCGAATAGACGGTGATAAGAGGTGAGGAGGAGAACCAGATAGCAAAAGGGAAGGAGGGGTGGGAGAAGAGGGGCGGAACGGGATGAGGCAATATGTGGGGAGTGGGAGGAAGAGAAGAGAGCGGAAAGGGGACAATTTTAAGGATGATTATGACGCGACCTTGAATCTCTCATTTCATCCTCCCCCTCCCTCTCTTCACCTCCCCTTCATATTCCCCCTCCTTCCCGTCCCCTTCCTCCTCCTCCCCCTTATCCTCGTCCACCTCCTATCTTGCCGTCCTCCCCTTTCTTCTTGTCCGTGTCATTCCCTTTCCTCCCGCCCCTCTCCTTATCCCTTCCCCCTCCCCCCTCCCCCTCCTTCTCAATCTCTTCACCTTCCTCCCCCTCCCCTTACGCATCGTCATCGCCCAATTGCTGGTGATCCTCTTGGTGAATATCTTACCGTATGGCAAAACTAATTCTGATGGTCGCATGCCGTGTGCTATACGGCTGTCACTGCCACTACCTGTGCGACGTCCTCCTCCCGAAATGCAAGCACGAACAAACGCCATGTGTCCGGCTCCATGTAGACATCTTCGGCTGGTGCTTGCGCAAACACATATTCCTCGGCGAAATATCATCGGAATAACCGCTATGTGGATGATATCTTCTGTCAGATCCAAGAGAAATATCACCAGAAGAGGTGAGGTGGGATGATCCGTGTTAGGAGAAACTGAGGGCGATTAAGAGAACGCTGGCGAAATGGGCGATAACGAATGTTAATTCCGTTTGTCTTCCCTTGACGCCGTTACTTCCACTTGCGCCGCGGCCACGCCCTGCTATGCTGTACTACTGCGTGCTCCCAATGTGCCACTGTGCCCCCTGACACGTTGAGGCGTGGAAGAATACGGTCTTTCCTTTTCGATGCCTTCGTGCCCGATCGAGAATGGTACACTTCCAGCATCGCAGCTAATGTTGACTCCCCCGTTCCACGTGTACCAGCTCGAATCTGCAGTGCCTCCCACATGGCAGCTCATGATTGAACCATCATTTCATGCCCTAGGTTTGTGGACTTCCCGCGTAGCTGCTAACTCCTGGATCATCATCCCACGCGCGCCCGCTCGATGACCTTGTACTTCACACATCCCTGAACCTACGAGACGGCTCAATATGCTTCCAAGAGGGCTCGGAAATGAGACTGTGGGAACCCAAACGGGGTCAGCATATTCCATGCGCACCCGCTCTAGGATTGCGCACTTCTAGCATGGCTGAGAGCTCCTGGACTTCATTCCACGCGCGAGAGGTTGGATGATCGCGCGCTTCCAGAGCCTTCAAGACGGCCCCAGATGCCTCCAAGAGGGCACGAGAGGACCCCAAGCAAGGTCAGAAGGAACCGACATCATTTGTTTCTCTGAGTTTTTGAACGGGCTGCTAACTCCTGGGCCATCCCATGTGCGCCCGCTCGAGGATCGTGCGCTTCCTGAGTTCTCGAGCTGTCAACGCGGCCCGAGATGCCTCCAAGAGGGCCTACTAACAATGCAACAAGGGGTCCCAAACGCTGCCCGGAGAAGCCAAACTCATCGATGTCCTCTCTGTGCTTGAATTCTGATTGCAAGCCGGGAGCGTTTCTTGCGCCTCGCGGAAGTGCGCGGGCCACGCTAGTCTGTTGCAGAGCGCGCCAGCGGGCGCACCGCCGACCAGCATCGCGCAGGCCAGGCGAACATCTGATCCTCTCGCGTAACTGCTGGCAAATGCGATGGGTGTGATGATGACGATGCTGGTGACGCGCTCTCGAATTAGCGACGACGCGTGATGACAATGTTGCGCTGCGATGTATTGTCGCTATCGTCCCCGCTTTCTATCTCGCAACCGATGTCACAACCAACCTCGCTGCCGATCTTTCTATCCATTTTACTCTAGCAATCTCATCATCGATCCCAGATTCGACTCCACTATCGATACCAAGGCGGGACACCTTCAGCTACCGCCCGCCCACCGCCGACAAAACACCGACGGGACACGAACGGCACATCAACGGGACATCAACGGGATACCACAGAACCCCACGGGGGGACACCCCTGGCCACCGCCCGCCATCATGGGCAACAACCACATGGGGCTCGGCGAACTCACGGTGCAGCCCGCCGGTCGCCTCCGCACGGGCAGCAGCAGGTACAACCACAGCAGCACCTACCACGGGCACACCTGAGGATCACATCACTTGCATCCACTAGTGCAACTCCGCCGCCGTGCCCCCTGAGACGCTGAGCCGTTGAAGAATGCCACGTGCTGCCTGGTAGGGTTCCTGCACTTCTCTGAGCCCCCCTCTCGACGCTCCCTCCCGAATGGCCCCCAGAGTACCCCTCAGGAACCCGAGGTAAGCTTCACGAAAGCTCCTCAATGAAGCCGAAACGTGTTCCATGTGACTGCCTTCCTCTTCCTCGTCCTCCTCCTCCCGCTCCTTCTCCTCCTCCTCCTCGTAATCCGCCTTCTCCTCTCCTGCTCCTTTTCCTCCTCCTTCTCGTCGCCATCGTTTTCCTCCTCCTCCTCCTCTTCCTCCTCCTCCTCCTCCTCCTCCCCTCCCCATCGTTATCCTTGTCCTTATCCGTATCCTCATCATCCTCATCCCCATCCTCATCCTAATCCACATCATCTTCCTCATCATCATCACCATCACTACCATCATCATCGCCATCATCCTCATCAGAATGCTCATCACGGCTCTCCCGAACTTGGAGACACACAATGACACGTGTGACGGCCTCCCGTGTCCCCTCGAACAGTCGCCGCCCAGAGGCTGGCACGGTGGCGGGACTTGCCGCAGGCAGCTGGGTGATATCTCCACGCGTCTACGTCGACATCTTCACCACCATCTCACTGGGGTCATGTGTGTCGCAAGCGCAACTGCTGCGCTTCCACCTCGCATGTCCGACCACGCGTACGTCGTCGAAGCAGTGCTGCCGTGCAGCACTAATGGGTCAAAGAGGAGGGAAGTCGGGCAGAGACATGGGCAGGCACTAGACTGAACCTCCTGGCCCTTCACACTGCTGCTGCTGCCATTGACCCTGCTGCGCCTCCTCCTCCTTTCTCCTCCTTTATCATCTTCCTTTCTCCTCCTTCTCCTCCTCCTCCTCTTCCTCCTTGACTCTGGATCCCTCTTGCTGCACTGGCGTTTCCACCCATGCCGCCTGGATTGACGTGCTTCTTCGCTCTCTTCATCACGCCTCCTTCGCTGCCGTGCGTCCCGGGCGCACTCCTCCTGGGCAATGCCCTCGGCAACCGCGTGCAACTCCGCGAGCATCACGTCCTGAAAGGTCTTCAGATCACCAGTGCACAGCACCGTCCAACGATGAGCCCCTTGAGAATCCGCCAAGCCCCTGCCTCCTGGGGCGGAGAAAGGCGCGCGAGACGTTTGGCTGTCCCCCCGCCCCCTTTCCCCCTTCCCGGGAGCACAACATCCAGTCTAAGGGTGTGTGTGTGTGTGTGACTAAATCTCCTCTCCTCCTCCTCCTCCTTCTCCTCCTTCTCCTCCTCCTCCTTCTCCTTCTTCTCCTCCTCCTCCTCCTCCTTCTCCTCCTCCTCCTTCTCCTCCTCCTCCTCCTCCTCGGCCGCTGGGCGCCCTGTTCGCATGGCAAACAAGTGTGCCCCCCCCCCCCCGAGGTGGGGGGACGCGCTCGCTAACGCACCCTGTGGCCTCTGGGGCCTCGAAGTCTACGTTCCGTGGGCTCCAAGATTCCCCTAAATGCAATATCAGCTGGCTCACAGTGAACTTCCACATGCCAAGGAAGCGTCAAACCACTAAGGGTAGCTTCAAGACGGCTACAAATACATCCGAGACGCCTCGGGAGAGCTCAAACAGCACCCCAGCAGGGGCCCTAAAAGACACACATCGTCCCAAATCCTTGGGAACACTGCTGCCACAAAAAATGCAGCCCGCATCCAGAGGCCACCAACACACGAAGCAAACGCGGTGGCGGGCACGCCGAAAGCCACTGAACTGCCTCCGAAAGCTTCCGCCGCCACGAGGCTCCCCAGAGGCTTCTTTAAATATTCTCACGACATCCAAAAGACTTCTGACCCACAAGCTAGGCACGGTGGCGACCACACAGACTGCCACTATATACTGCCCACAAGAAACTTCAAAACTACAATGGACATTTGACGTAATACAAATACACCACACCCCGCATCAGCGGATAAGAGGGGGCGGGTGGGCGCGGCGCCTGCGACCCACCCGCGACCCAACCACCCCGCGATCCGCCTGCAACCCATCAGCCCCGCGACCTCAGAACCAGTTGTCAACTGTTTTCCCTTCTTTTCTGGGCCTCTCCTGAGCCGTCTTGGAGGCCTGCCTCTTAGGCCCCTCTTGGCGTCCTCGGGCCGTCTTGGGGCGATAGCGGGGCCCTTTTGGGCCGTGGTCAATGCTCTTAAAGCCGAATCGCGGATGTGTCGCGAGTGGGTCGCGGGGTGGGTCGCGGTGGGGTCGCCCGTGGGTCGCGGGTGGGTCGCGGTGGGTCGCGGGTGGGTCGCGGGTGGGTCGCTGGTAGGTCAAGGGTTGGTCTCGGGCCGGGTCGCGGGTGGGTCGCGGGCGGGTCGCGGTGGGTCGCGGGTGGGTCGCGGGCGGGGCGCGGGGTGGGTTGCGGGTGGGTCGCGGGTGGGGTGTCGCGGTCGCGGGTGGGTCGACGGTGGGTCGCGGGCGGGTCGCGGGTGGCCCGCGAGCACTCGCGGGTGGGTCGCGGGCGGGTCGCGGGTGGGTCGCGGAGTGGGTCGGGGTGGGTCGCGGGCGGGACGACGACAACAAACAACAGGCAACGCAACAACAGCGCAACAACAACAACATCAACATCAACAGCAACAGCAACAGCAATACATCAACACCAAACACAACGACACCACCACCACCAACAATAATAATACCACCACCACCAACATCAACAACAACAGCAACAACACCAGCAACAACAACACCACCAACAACACCAACGGTAGCAACAACACCATCAACATCAACAACCATAACAGCAACAGCAACAGCATTACCACTCACCTTACCAACAGCAGCAAATACATCAACACGTACAACAACGACATCGACACCAACATCAGCAACACCAGCAATAACAGCAACAACAGCAACTACAACCAAGACAACAACAACAACCATTCTAAGACTGTTTGTTCTTATCTGCTCGCGGGCCATTCATCAACCCCTAAGGCACAAGAAAACAAGACGGATGGAATGAACGGACGACGGGAAAGAGGATGGAACACGGGATTCGCGAGAGGGGGGCTAGAAAGCACGTAGCAGAACCAGACGGGCTGGTAGACCCTAGCGGGCTGGTCGGGAAGGCGGGCCCAAACGGCCAGGTCGAGCATGCGGCTTTTGATTAAGCGTGATTACTGCATGAATCGCGAGGAAGTCTCGAGCGACAACGCGATATTCAAATACATTGTGAGGGAATCCACGGCGAGAGCGGGATTTCTGAGTGACGACAGCGCGGCGTCTGAATAAATGACGAGGAACTCCCGCGCGAGAATGCGATTTCTGCAGAAATCGCGAAGACCTCCCGCGCGAGGGCGCAATTTTGGATTAAACTATGGGGAAATATCCAGCGGGAACCGCTTTTGTTGTAAACCGGGGGCTCAAAACGTAGTTTGGTGACACGTCGTTTTCCCTTGCAATAGAAAAGAGCGCGAACCCTGGGAGAAACAACTCAAACATAAAAATGGTTACTGGGCAGGGGGGATCTTCGACGGCACGGCTCGCGACTGCTCCAGGATTGCCTCGAAGCCGAGGAGGCCAAGACAGAGGCGGGTGGCGCCACGAACACATGCCACTCGTGCCACCGCCTTCCCCAAGCCACCAACTAACACCAGCCAAAAAGTTGGGGAGGAGAAGGGAGGAGGCAGGCAACAGGGCGCCAACTATTGCATCCCCGCCGACCTTGGCCAGGCCCGTCCTGGACCAGAGATCGGTGCATACGCCCAGAGGCAAGCACAGGGGCCACGCTCAAGGAGCACACGGTCCACTGCATAGGGCCTGCGTACAAACAAGACTCGCTCGAGCACCCTGTCTATTTAAAATCAGAATTACCTTCATGGACGGCGGCCGTGTGGCAACAACCTATGTGAACACTCTTGCCTGCTGGTGCCTGCTGCTGGTGCGTGCTGCTGCTGGCTTTGCAGTTGCCGCTGCTGCTTCTGGAGGGTCTTGGGCGGCCTCTTGGTCCTGTCGTTGTTGCTTGGGGGGCTCTCTTCGCAAGCCTTGGGCAATCTCGTTGCCCCTTCTGGGGGCATGAGCGCAAGGAGGGCGCAGGGTCGGGGGGCGAGAAAAGGATGCGGCAGGACGGGCAGGACGTTGCTTCCCCTGCTGCTGCCCCTCTAGAGACCCTCCCGCTCCTCCTGCACCTCCTGCCCCCTCTCCAGTCCACCACCCCCCTCACCGAGGAGGAGGAGGTGGAGGAGGAGGAGGAGGAGGAGTCCCTATCTCGCTTCTATCTCCAGCTGCCCGCCTCCTCCGTCCCCTCGCCACACAAAGGGACAACGCTTATCAACATACATACATGTTTGGAGGTCCGAGCGGACTTCGTGGGCCCCTCCCGCCCCCATCCCCCTTTCTTCCTCCTCGGCCGCCGCGACCACGTCCGCCGCTGGGCGCTCGTGCACGGGCTCCCGCGGCTCCGCCCGCTCCTGCGGGCAGGGGGCGCGCACCCGAGCTCGCCGGGCCGCTCTCGCTTGTGCGGCAAGCTGGGCTGGTCCTCCTCCTCCTCCTCCTCCTCCTCCTCCTTCTCCGCCCTCCTCCTCCTCCTCCTCCCTCCTCCTCCTCCTCCTCCCCCTCCGCTCCTCCTCCTCCTTTTGAGTAGCACCTCCCTGTCGCACCGGGAGCCAGTCGGAAGGGCGGGCCGGTCGGTTCGCCCGAGGCCTCCTCGCCGTCGATGAGCCTCCCGCCTCCACGTCGGCAGAAGCCTCACCGATGGACGGCGGGTCGCTGCCAAAGTGCGGCTCTCGCCCCGGCGCCGCGCATATTCGTCTCAAACGTGTGCAAGAGTTGAGCGTTTTTTTTTTTTTTTTTTGTTGTTGTTTTTTGTTTGTTTGCTTTTTTTTTGGGGGGGGTACCAGGACACACAAATAAAAATATTCCCCATACTTGTTTAAACATCTTTTCTGGGTTTTCGTCTTCCCCCCCACTTCCCATATTTTCCCATATTTTCTGGGGAATCGACGATTAATTGTGTCTGTTTTTTTCCCCCCCCCCCTCCAGAGTTTTTTTTGGGGGGGTACCAGGACTCCTTCTGACGGTGTCCGAAGATTCCCACGTCCGTGGGCTCGCAATTGTGTGATCCAGCCCGCAGTCCTTGCGCTGGAGACGATAGATCAATTTAGCACTGGACGTGCCTTGGCGGCACGAACAAAATAATGTGCCCATGATGGAAGACGACTAATCTGGTGGAGGGGGACTCCTCTCGCACCAGGGTTCGCAAACTCGATTCGACCTTCAAACGTCTTGAACGCGCAGTCAAGAGCTCTGCATACTGCAAGGCTCATGGAACGTCTGCTAGCGCGAAGGTGGATAGAGACAGAGAGAGAGAGAGAGAAGCTCCAAGCCACCTGGCCTCTCGCACAGGAGCCCAGAAGCTCGTCTCTCACCATCTCGACTTCATGACGCCCTGGCTACAACCTGGGAGTCGTCCGCGGGCTAAAAAAGCAAAAAGGACATCTTCACGTCGCGGGTAGGAGCGCAGGACCACCCAACGGTCGACTCACGAATTCGCTTCACCGCACCGTCCCCATGGGGGCCAAACGATGGCGGCGGGCAGGCAGGGAAGCATGCGCGAGGGGCGGAGGGCCCCGAAGCGAGAGGGGTGCGCCGGCGAGGTCAGGGAGCGGGAGGCGGCGGGTACACCGGGAACGCCTTCATGGTGGACTCGTAGCACGCCCAGTAATCGTCCGGCTTCATGAACGGGTGGTAGGTTGTGGTGGCGACGGTGTCGCAATTGGGCTTCCACTTCTTGTTCTTCTTCTCCGAAAGGGGCCGGTCCGCCTCGCACGTCCCGTCCAGCTTGGAGCCGTATCCGATCCCGCGCTTTACGCCGTTCGCGTCCAGGCAGGCCTGCGCAAACAGATCCTCGCCCATGGGCCCGTACTTGCCGCCATCTATGCCCACCTTCCAGTCGATCCCACCGTTCTTGCACGAGGCCATCGACCCAAGGAGCGTCTCGAACGCAGCCTTCGAAAAGATCTCCAGGCTGCCAAACCAACCATACTTGACGTACTGGCAATTCTCGAGGTAGGTGCCCGCGGGCGGGACGTACTTGTCTGACAGCCAGTACTTCAAGCGGCTCGGGATCATCACCGCGTCCGCATCGAGTTTCACGACCCAATTGGCGGTGGCGTACTTGCCCTCCGCCTGAATGGTCTTCCAGGCCTGGTAGTGCAAGCCTGTGTTGAGCCAGGTTCCGGTCTCCTCTCGCTTCGCGAAGTGGAAGTCCCCATCGACGTCATCCACCTTCGTGACAGGAACACCAGGCGCAATATCGGCCTCTGCGTCGCTGAACACCCCCCAAGAATCACAACCAAAGATACTGATCCCCTTCTCATACGCTCCCTGGAGCAGCTCCAGATCGTAGTACTTCTTCGTGCTGCCGATGTCCTGCATTACTATCGCGAAACAGTACAACGTCGGGTCGTACAGCACAGCATCCGCCAAGACCGGCTCCATGATCGATTGCGGCTGCTTGCAGAGCTTGGTATCGCTGGGCGTGCAGTTCTTCAAGCACTCGCCCTTCCCTGTCTTGGTCTCGAAGCACGTCAGGCCCGCCACGTTGCAGCATCCAGTGCCGAAGCAGTCCTCGTCCCAGTTGGAGCACTGGTCTCGCGGGGGAATGGCGATCGTCTGCTCCTTGCTCTCGCGGGGGCCCACGCCCAAGGCCGAACCGCGCAGCGCCAGGTGCGCCGCGCCCCCGCCTGCGCCGGTCAGGAGAAAGAGTCCCGCGGCTGCGCCGCCCGCCGCTCGCCAGGGCGAGCGCTGGGCGCGAGCGTCCTGGACCAGGAACTGCTCCGACCCGCTCGCCTCGCCGCCGACCTCCGCAAGCTCCATGGCCGAGGTCATTGTTGGCAGGGATGGCAGTGCTTGCAGATCAAATTGGCTGCAGGAAGATCTCGAGCCCAAGCGGCTTGGGCCAAAAAGGCAACGGAGCAAGAGTTTTGCGGATTGAGGGCGGTTACTTTCAAACTGTGGCTCTCGCCTTAGCGCCACCCATATTCCTTTTAGCAATTGCAGAACTTTCCTGAAATGGGGGCAAGTTGTCTTCAAACTGTGGCTTTCGCCTTAGCACCGCGCACACTCGTTTGTACATCTTGCAAGAGCTTCACGGATTGAAGGTAATTCTTCTTCAAAATGCGACTCTCGCCTTAGCGCCGCGCGCATTCACTTCACACATTTGAAAATGATACAAGAGAAACACCCCAATCAAAGTCTTTTTAGGGCTATAGGGCTATGGGGCTATTGGGCTGTAGGGCGATGGGGGGGCTATAGGGCTATGGAACTGTAGGGCTACAGGGCCACAGGGCTATAGGTCTATAGAGCTATAGGGCTATGGGGCTGTGGGGCTAGAGGGCTTTGAGGCTCTGGGGCTATAGGGCCATGAGTCAAAAGGGCTATGGGGCTATAGGGCTATAGGACCATAGGGCTATAGGGCTATAGGGCTATAGGGATATTGGGCTATCGGGCGATAGGTCCATAGGGCTATAAGGCTATACGGCTAGACATCCATAGGGCTATAGGTCTATATGGCTATTGGGTAGGGCTCTAGAGGGCTATTGGGCTATTGGGCTATAGGACTATAAGGCTATATAGCTATAGGGATATAGGGCGATCAGGCTACTGGGCTATACTTAAGGCTATAAAGCTACATGGCTACAAGGCTAAAAGGCACCCAAGCACCCGGGGCACCCGGGCGAGACGCGGAAATCGGTGACACACCTCACCTAACCATATGAATCCGCCAAGACCCCTACAGAGGCAAGCTCTGATTGGGGAATGCTTCACGGGATAACGGCGTTCCTTTTCAACATGTAGCTCTCGCCTTAGCGCTGCGCACATCCTATTCAAACCTTTGCAATCGCTTCACGGACTGAGGGCGATTCCTTTCCGAAATGTGGCTCTCGCGTTAGCGCCGCGCGCATTCGTTTTAAACAGTTGCAGGACATTAGCGGGTGTGCGGCAAATTGTTTCCAACATGTCGCTCTCGCGCGCGCTTTCGTTTGAACAATTTGCAAGAACTTTACGGATTGACGGTGGCTCCCTTTCAGAACTTGGCTTTCGCCTTCGCGTCGCGCGCATTCTTTTTAAACACTTGCACGGATTTTACTCAATATCACGGCTCACTTACCGGAAACTGGGATGATTCAAGACTACCAGGGCACGAGTCAAAATCGTCAAGACGCAACCGTCAGGTCTGCTCGTGGAGTCCAAGTTCCGAGAATGGTGTTTTGGCGCGCTTCAGAATTGTCGCGCGGTTGTCACCCAACGGGGCGCTTCCTTCAGTGGAAGTGAAACCTCGTGGGGGCCTGCAAAGAAAGAGCTTGGCGGGAGGATGTATCCCAACGTCGTTGATGAGTCTTGGGTTATCACTGGTCACCCCCCCCTCCTCCCCCTCCCTGTGCCCTTAGGTCGGGCATCTCCTGCTACATACAGATTTTTAAAAGGTAGTCAAATAATCGTCAAACATAGCCAGGAATGCGCTAAGCATGATCACCGTATCATGTTCTACTACTCTTGAATACTCCTCCTGTAGAGGGACACGCCCGACTTAACCGTACCCTCCCCTTTCTCCTTCCCCTTCTTCGTCTTCGCCTTCGCTCGTTCTACGACAAACCCTCACAACACTCGAACGCAAAAGGCCGAATTCATATGTGCCTACCTGTTCGAAGCATTTCTTGCCAGCCTTGCCGGCCAGCCGAGGAGTTGGCTCTGTGTTGAAGCCCCCTCTGGAATAGTTGGGCGGTGCGAATGTTGACGATGTTGTGTGGTAGCCGGTTGAACGCTCGACTCATGCCAAAAACAAACAGTCGTAGAATAAATAGCTGGGTCGTCGTAGTATAGCTGGATGGCCCGGCTCGATTGGGTCAAACAGAGCCTTTTCATGGAACCCTGGGCTGGAACGCAGCCAAACGATTCAAGATGGCCCGCAGCTGGACGGAACAATGCTGCACATGCAGGAAGCGCCAAAACAGAAACAAGCTTTGTACAGCAGATCCGGAACCGCTATGTCCGAACGCATACCAAGCGAACCTTGTCAATACAACAAAACTGCAAATCGTTGACTCGTTTCATTTAACATGCTCCTCTTGGCGTGGTAGGCCACTGGGGTGTACAATCTGACCATTCCTTTCACACCATAGTTGCGGTTTGTCCGGAGAAGCATGCGGGCGGTCCCACAGGGGTAGTTTGTTTGTTTTGTTGTTGTTTTTTTGTTCCTTTAGCTTCACACATACATATATATACACACATATATACAGGTATATATATATATAGATATATATAATATAGTATAGTAATATATTATAAAATATCGTGTGTATGTACGTATGTCTATATAAGAAGGTCGGCGAGGCTCGCGCAGCACGAGCCGTTCGCTCTGGAGAACCAGGGTTTTGGGCGTCACCAGGGGCGCCCACGCGAGGCACGC